AGATAGATAGATAGATAGATAGATAGATAGATAGATAGATAGATAGACAGACAGACAGACAGACTCACTCCATACTCGTGCTTCGCTACGAAACTATATAAAGAATTCAATTCTATCTATTCTATTCTAAACTATGTGGTCGGGCTTAGTTTTTGGGGAGGAAAATAGGGAAGAAAAAAATTGTGCCTTTGCCTACCAGCAACCATCAGTATTCATCTGGCTAGCATCCTGCCAGTGTTTGAGAGAGTTGAGGGCTGTTTGGAAAGTGAAACAGTATTTGCTGTATGAGCAAGAAGGAGACAGCAAGGAGCCTGGGCGTGGCTTAGCTCAACTGTTCTGTACTGAAGCTGCTTGGTGCTGCTGTGAAACTGAAACTGCAACTCCTCTGCTTGTGTTTTGCATTTGGAAGGGATTTCTTTTTTTCAGGTGGGGAGGGGGAGTAGAACTCCTTAGCATCAGAGCGTGTTAATAATAATAATATAGGAAATACTCTAAATGCTCTGAGGGTCATTTCCAAAAATCCTTTTCTTAGTGAGCATATATATTGAGTTATAAAGTTTGGGGAAAAGTTAACCAACACAATAACTAAACAAAGAGCATTAAATAAATCGGAGAATCCAGATGGCATTTCCGCTGTCTTCTGTACCTCTGTCTTCCGAGATGATCTGGATGAGCTCATAATCTTCTGGCCGATCTCCATCCAGGTTGTGTTTGGCCATAGCTTTGCGAATCACCACCGGGGTTTTATCCTGGCTTGTCACCTGGAAGGGCGTGTTTAAAAGAGGTACACTTTTAGGCACACAGTGAAGTGAAGCCAAGTTCCCTTAAGTTCATGGCTAAGGTGGCTGCTATGGTCTCTAGATGTTGCGCTGATGAAGTTAGCTGGTCCTTGGTGCTCCCTGGGCGTGGTTGTTTTCTTGTGGACGTTTCATTACCCAAAGTGGATAACATCAATGTTATTCATCGCTAGCCCTGATGATGTTCCCTAGCTGGGTCATGAAACGTCTGCAAGAAAACCACCACGCCCAGAGAGCACCAAGGACCCCACCACCGTTTAACCCCGAGCTACAAAGATGTTCTCGTGGGTGTGCCAGAAGAGAAAGTGTAAGACTTTCACTAGCGGTGGTTCCCACACCGATGTCCATCCGCTGAAGTCTCCTCAACGGAGACACATTTCAATTCGGGCTAGGTTATTATCCCAGCCCTTCTCGCCCCTGGCAAAGACGGGGCACCTACCAAAATACTTTTGTACATGTTTCCGTTATCCACCGCCAAGCTGACTCGGATGATACAACAATCGTCGATCTGCTGGTTATAAAGAGGTAACGAGAGGGAGGAATAGCTGGAAATGCCCGAGACGGAGCGCTTGTGCGTACGGGACACTGTCACTGGCGTGGAGGAGACGGACGATGAAGAAGCGCTGCTTGAACTTGACCCAACACCCGACGTATCCAAGGAGCTCAGCGAGGTAGATTCCCAAAACTTTGTAGACCGGAGAAAGGAAAGACGGGGTCAGTTATCACGTCAACAAGAACGACCTAACTATCCTTTGCCCTTGGCTGGGAGAGGTCTTCATGGTGCCTACAACAGGACCCACCATGGTCCAGAAGGATGAGGAAGAAGCTGAGAAGATAGTCTTCTGACCCCGGCTGCCCAAACACGACAAACCCTCTGAAGTGAACTCAAAAGATGCCTTTAATTAGGAGCGCCGGTAGCCCCGGCAAAACGTTTCTCTCTCACCGCAGGCTAATAAGTCTGTCCAGGAGAGGAATAATTGTCTGTGTCAAGCCCAAAATTGAATTGTCTGTCACATCTATTCATCTCCACCCCCTGCCTTTTATCCCCAGAACTACGGTGGGGCTCCGCTAGCAGCAGTGGCTCTTCCGTCCCGAGGACCGGCCTATAGATTTCCACTGCTCTCCTCTCCTCTACTTTCTGCTCATCCCTGTATCAGGCACTGGACTCAGCTGTTCCTCCTCTTCCTCATCAGCCACCTCCAACCCTTGGGGCTGTTGACTCTCCATCTGAGGGCTGACGGACGGCCCACCTCTGTCTCTCTTACAGCTCCATTCCTTCTTCCCCCTCAGAGCTCTCAGGTTGTCTTGCTGACTGTGACTCCCACACCTTTTCCTCCCCTGATTCGGCTGCTGGAGGGGCTGGTGGCCAACAGGCCGCAACGGATAGTTTTGGCGAGGGACTCTCCAAACCACCTCTAAACATCTTCTATTACCTTCTTCCACCCCTTCTTCTTGCCCTCCGCCTCTCTTCAAAAGCACCAAGAGGAACACCTCAACTTCTCAGTTCCCTGATTCCCCACATCAAAGCCCTCCTCCCCCCCATGAAATGGGGCGCACCTGCCGCCTGACCCCCTGGGCAGGAGTGGATCCCAGAGGGTGGTGGTCCTGTACCTTCTTCTCTTGAACTTCGGGCGAATCAGGAATGTAGCTGATGTTGATCTCTTCCACGTCGGAGCTGCTGGAACCCGCCGAGGTGATGCTGACCGAATCGGCCCCGTCGCTGCTGCAGAGATATGGCCCACACTTCAACTGGTCAAAGGACTTGGAGTGGGAGCTGCCGCTGGCACAAGAATCGGTGCTGGGGGCCTGTCGGCTGTGGGGAGAAGAGAATCAGGAGAAGGGCTGGGGGGGGGGGGGGGGGGG